ATAATATAATACTATAGTATATATATATATATATATATATATATATATATATATATATATATATATATATATATATATATATATATATATATATATATATATATATGTATATATGTATACACACACACACACACACACATATATATATATATTCCGTTTCCTACATTCGCACCCACACACCTGTGTCAATTAAATGGTGGTTCCAGCGTTGTACGAAATTGCGCACTAAATCATCTACCACTGGCCCCTTCACTTTGACTGACACATCGTGCCACGGCATTCGCGAGGTGGATTTACGATCAAGAACGTCCTAAAAAAAAGTGCGAATAGGGTCTCAAAGTGTAGCTAGGACAAAAGGAATTGAGAACGATAAGTGGAACTGGTATATTAGGAATAGGGCAGTAGAAAGTGTATCTAGAATATAAGGATTATATATATATATATATATATATATATATATACGTATATATATACATATACACACACCCATATATATATATATATAAATATATATATATAGGTACATATATATATACATATACACACACTCATATACATATATATATATACATGCATACACACACGCACACAAACATACATATTTACATACATGTATAGATATGCATATATGCATACGTACATACATACATATACATATATACATACATACGTACCTATATACATACTATATATATATATATATATATATATACATATATAAATATTTACATACATACATACATACATACATACATATATATAAACATATATGTATATATATATACATACATACATACATACACACACACACACACAGACACAGACACACACACATATATATATATACTAAAAATTTATATATACTGTCCATGAAAGTACACATACACGTACATACACGGTATGGATTGTAGATGCTCTCTATGCCTGCTTGATGAGGGTTGAAATAGTCCTGTCCGGGCCATCGCTCGCGCTTTCCATCAGTCACGCGATGCGACACGGTGTCGTACCTGAAATCGAAAACCAAGTTAATATTACATTTAAACTAAGTTTCCCCCCCCCCCGATTTATCGTCAAGTTTAGGTGGTATAAGGCGTAGTTAGTATACCGCGGCCTTAGACCTCAATAGCAGTCAGCAGCCAGCAATTAATGTGACGCACTAACTTCGAGTACGTATGCACCAGAAAACCGACTGGGCTGAGTATGGGCTTGTTGGGCCATGATTAGACACGGCCGACACTATACGATGCAAACCAGACAATCCGACACACCCGACCATGCAAGACTATATACATATATGTATATGTAGATATACATAATGTTTAATATATACATATATGCATATGTAGATATATATGGTGTATAATATATACATATATGTATATGTAGATATATATGGTGTATAATATATAAACATTTATACACACATCCGACCTTGGCAAGGCTATATACATATATGTATATGTAGATATATATGGTGTATAATATATAATTATTTATACACACATCCGACGATCCCACACCGGTCTAACACCCACCGGACGATGGTCGATATTATATTGACGCAACACGACAACTAGATGTCATATTGGCTACCCGAGTGCGCACTGAAGCAACTCCAAATCCGACATAGAATTTTATTCAATAACCAAACCAGTCTGAGCACACTAAAAAGTCGGCTATAGAAGCTACCTTTGTCTCTGGTGACAACTGGGAGAAGTACACGACAGGTGTATGAGAGTTATAAGATATTCAAACAGCACACACACCTTCCCGAACACACATCGAAGCCACCCACGAATGCGACCTGATGGTCCATGACCAGGTATTTCTGATGGTGTGTCCAGAGAATGTTCTGCGGATCAAAGTGCTGTTCAACAACGTAGGATAAGGAAACAGACATAAGCGCACGTCAGTGTTAGCTCCCTGGAATGAATGCTGATACGATGAAAGGTATTGGGCACGTGTGTATAGTGCACAGAGATGTGTACCTTGCATAGGACGATACGGAGTGATACCGCATCCATATAAGGTATATACATATCCACACACACACACACACACACACATATATATATATATATACTATACGAATATATATGAATATACATACATACATACATATATATATATATACATACATATATATATATATATATACATACATATACATGTATAGTAAATATATATATACGTACATATATATATTCAATCACGACCCAAATTCACATAGCTCCACGTCGAACACATCAACTTGGGCTTTTAATTGACAATAGACCCATATCTGTAGATATCGCATGGATTTGCTGTTAATGATTTGCGCTGAAGACAGCACGTCGGCTAATTCAGAGGAGAGGATATAGACAACTCATGAGTGCGATACAACCCAACATCGACACATAGGTCCATGTGTTCGTGCACACCCACACACGCACATCTGTATGGATACACACGTAGATACGAACGACACACGCACGCACGCACACACATGGACGCAAACACAGCCACCTATGACACCCATCCAAGCCATACCTGGGGATGTCTCATGACCTTGATATTCGTCTTGTGCAGTGAGCGCAGGACGTCTGCTGACTCTGAAGAGAAGTTGTTGACAGCCCATGTATGGGGTTCGTCCCATAGTAGCACGTATATCTTCACCCCTTGGTCGGCTTTTCGTTTCAACATGGTATCGAACCTTCAGGTGGAAAGAAACATGAGGCGTGAGCACTGCTAAAGCAGACGTGGTCGGATGTACGAAGTGGTCCAATGTGTCAGCATATGTATGCGAGAGCAGCACAACGATGTCAGAAGTAGTAGGATAGACGAAACATCACAGTGTGCCAGCATACGTGTGCGTGAAGCATTGGGTGAGTGATCGATATTTGGACGTGAGAAGAACGAAAAGGATTAGTCTGGTAATGATTTGAAAAGGTGAAAAGATGTGATTGGATATATATATGTATATATATATATATATATATATATATATATATATATATATATATATACAACAAAAAAAAACACAACTAACTAACTTAACTAACAACC